ACCAGAAGCTGCTCTTCATATTAGTGACCTACAATAACAGTAACAACAGCTTTTTGACAAGTTTAAAATTTCTTTAAAATACATTCAAAATTCAAAAAAAACGACAATTAATTTAAAGCAAATTAAAATGTAGTTGTATCTGCAACTGTATTTGATAATGTTTTGAACTTTTAAATATTGCCTGGTAAAAACAGAAGCTGCTCTTCATATTCGTGACAAACTTTGGTGTTTTTTTTGTCGAGTTACTTTCATTTTTGCTTCTACTTTTCATTTAGAATAGGTTTCCATTCTTGGCAGGTTTCTAAGGTTCTTCTACATTTTAAAAAATTTGTTAAACAACTGAGTGGCGCACTACTGCTTCTAGTGGTGAGAGAGTGTATTGCACCTCATTCAAAATCAATGCGGTCCCACGGCCCTCTGCGGCCCAAAGTTAAAAACTGTTGTTCTTTTGAGGTCCTCAAGGTGGCGGTCGTGGCCGGCCCATGGGTTAAGAATCTGACTTATAAAACATTTTTATGTCTAAATTGCTAAAAAAAGTTGCATATTTGATCAATTTAGAATTACAGTATGTACACACCTGAAAGAAGCTTCCAGGTGATTTTTTTTCAATTCCATCTTCTATATAGATGTCTTTAAAATAATCATAAGTTGGCATAAGTTGTTTAAAATGTCTTAGTGTGACAGGGCCTTTAGCGCAGGAGCTTTTGGCACATGTTTCTGGTACAGATCAGATTTATTCATGTTGCCGCTGAGAAGCAACGAGCAGACTAAACTAACATTGCGGATGTCCGCTAACCTATTTTCTGAACATGCATAAGATTTTTCCCCTTTTGATCAAATCTCAGATGTTTTGGTGTAAGACACGGATGCTCTGATGATTGCAGTATAAATTCAAACAGAATACATTTGTAGCAACCAGCTCCAAAAATGATGCTCCACTGACACAGCCAGTCATAACCATACGACCTACAAGCTTTTTATTTTTTACTATATTTGATATTTTACTGGACAAAAAAAGTAAATTAAAAATTGAAAGACCAGTTTTGTTCAACTTTTAAATAAGTCCAATTTATTTAGTCTTGTTTGTTTTCATTTAAGGTCAGTTTGCATTTATTTAGTTGCCATTTATTTAAATGTCATTTATGTTAGTGAATTAAGAAGATGGTGTAATGGCCGAGCAAGCCGTTCCAGGAACATCCTGGAGCAAACCCATACCACTGACCTGAATTAGGTGGGCATTGTTACAGCACCTTGTTCTGTTCGAATTTAATTTGAATGCAGCAGATCACTGTAAAAAAAATAAAAAACAAAAACACACACCCAAAAATCATTCAAGCTTAGAATACCAACCATCTCCTCTAGCTGCACTTGGATCTGTCTGTGGACCTCGGCCATCTGGAACAGCACATCTCCTTCACACAGAGAAACGGAGAGACATGGAGAAAACACATGAATACTCCATAACACAAGCAGAAAGCTGCGAGGAGGAAGAAAAGTAGAGAAAAAAAAAACAGATGAAACATGGAAAGCAAGAGAGAGAAGAAAAAATGTGATGGAAGTTTATGAGATGATAAGACAGATACAATGCCACATACAGAAATTGAAATGGAGGTAATGGTTTCAAAAAGCAGAACACACTGGATCTTGAATTTTGTAACAAACTAGAACTTAACAAGTAATAAATAAATAAATAAATAAATAAATAAATAAATAAATAAATAAATAAATAATTCAGGTAAAACTCAAAAATGACAAGAGGTCATGCAGCTAGTATTGTAGTTTTAATACCTACAGTCTGCCTCTTCTGAATTTGCAGTGCATTGTCAAGAAAAGGAACACAAAAAGCACATTGAGCGAAGGACACATACAAATATCGACCTGGTGGAAAGACTGTGAGCAATCCAAACAGACAGAAACATGACAGACATTTTCTCTGACCAGAAGGTCCAAAGCCGTTTTGGCTTTGTTTGGGGCATTGTGTATATTTAGCCAGTGCTGTGAATATTAATAGAATCAGATCATATTTGTTGCAAAGTGTCAGTTAGACAGCAATATAGAAGCATCATGCTCTGTTTTCAGCCAGTCTAGTCACATGATTAATTTAAAACATGGCTGAAAGAGTCAGTAAGGATATCAATCACTTTAGAAATCCAGATTTATTTTTCAGGACGCACTAGAGGCTTCTGACATGTATTGTCAGATTTTATTTCTTGCTTCGTTTCACACACCGTCCTGCTGTGTCATTTTATGAGCTTTAATCTGCAAAGAGCAGATCTAAATGGATCTTAAATTGCTTTGCAAACAAAAGCAGAACTTGTGCTGAAGCGGTTTTCAGTACAAACCTTTTGTTCTGCACCAAAAGGGCTTTGGAGTGGTCTCCACCTCAGACAGCAAGCAGCGCGAACACTGGCAACAATGTAGAGACTGTGACAGAGCGGACTTAAAGAAAAGCTGAGAAGCAGAAGGTTGGTTCTTTAAAACCACATAAGAAAAGAATGCAGCATGTACAGTAATAAGAACTGTGAAGTACTGTTAGACAAATGAGTTGCCCAAAAAATGCCAACACATTTCACCATTAGTCCAGTAGCAATTTATTCTACACAATAAAGACAAAGCGGTTTATTTTAAAGAACACCTGAAATGTATTTAAAGGGATCCCCGATTAGTTGTAACATTAGARTTTATTTGATAAACATATATTTTAACTGTAAAATAAAGACTGTAAAAATACTGTAGGCTGTTTAGTTTTGTACATTTTTAAAATATATTTTAACACGGATGGAGCCATTTTATTTACATGCAAAGCATTCTGGGTAAATGATGACATCAACTAGGTCATTGGTGCAAGGCTGCTAGTGAGCTATATTCACCGGCCACTTTGTTAGGTACAACACGCTAGTAACGGGTTGGACCCCCTTTTGCCT